ATGTTGCATTCTCCTTTCTCTTTCCATTTGCCTTTCATATAAAGGAGAGGAGATCAAAAAAGAATCCCACAAAATGTTCCAGGCTATAAATATGAAATCACCAAAAACTTTGATTTCAGTCATATACGAGCACACACCTCAGTTGCTCGTAAGCCTCAGTCCTTTGAGGCGTAAGCCTGGATAAATGGCACTGAGGCATATGCAGGCTTTTAATGGAAGCCTCATGCTAGTCATGCCTCAAGACGCTAGTCTCGGACAACTTTCTCAAACAATGTTCGATATATTATGTTTGTGTAATTTCATGATTGCTCTTTATGATATGCACATTTCAGTAAGTACAATTTTTCCATCGCTGAGTTTTGGCATGTTCTCGTAATGCATGTAATTTTAAAAGGTTTCGAAGGAAGAGATCCCAGATTAGCAGCTATCGTAACATTAGCGTCATCACTTGACTACACATCTTCTAAATCCTCGCTCAAACTACTCCTACCCCTCGTAAGTAGCATTTCCTTGTTGGTCCATCTCCTTTCTGATTAAAGAAAATTATTACCTCCTACTGGGCAGTACTACAATGTAGTTGTCTTGCAGGCTGATCCTGCACAGGCTCTCAATGTGCCTGTTGTTCCATTAGGAGCATTACTGTCTGCAGCTTATCCTCTGTCATCTCGTCCACCTTATGTCTTATCATGGCTCAATGACCTAATATCAGCACAAGATATGATGCATCCAGAGCTGTTGAAGAAGCTTGTTCTAAATAACTTTTGTAAGTCAAATGTTTTTCCACTGCATATTATTATCAGCTTGTCAATTTATTTATGCGCTTAAGGGTTGGGTGGGTATGGATATGGATGTTAAGCTAAATTAGAATGCTACATGGGATCACATTCATTAAATGTGAACAACTGCCACCAACTTCCCCTTGCCTCTAATGAGATATGAAAGATTTGTTGTTATTGTTTTGTTGCATCTAATTATTATCAAATATCTTGTTCTGTGTCTGCTGAAACGATTTCTTGAACACATGTCGATACACAAATAAAGGGTCAAGCGCTTCAGTCTGGCCTTGATGCGTCAATCATCTATAGATCATCTACTTATTGAACATGGAAAAGAGCCAGAATTAAGTTTCACGAGAATGCGTCCAAATTTATGGAATTTTCTTATCTTGGGTATGGAAACTGTTAAACTTGGCATAAATCAATATCAATGTCATTAATGTATAGAGTTTCATCACCACTGGCAGGTACTGTTCCTGCTAAACTTTTATTGCAGCTGACAACTGCTTTTCGTGCGGGGGGGCTCCGTGATAGAAGCTGTCAATTTTTCTACAAGGATCACCTTCATAAAAGCAATGTACCTGTCTTGGCTCTTGCTGGAGATCGTGACTTAATTTGTCCTCCAGAAGCTGTATATGGTGTGTGGTCTTGATCCGAAAACTTTATTACTTCCCATGGTGCATACTATACCCCATTCATAAGAATAATTGCCTCTTTTGATTCCAATATAGCAAAAGTGTATGCTCTTTTAGCAAATTGATTCCAAATGAGTTAATTCTGTGGGAGTTATTTTATTTAGTTAACCTTTCTTTCATCTTCCGTCCATTATCTCGAGCAGAAACAGTGAAACTCATTCCCGAGCATTTGGTTACATATAAAGTATTCGGAGAGCGTGACGGTCCTCATTATGCTCATTATGATTTGGTGGGAGGACGAATGGTATACAAATGTTTTCCTTTCCTCAATTGTCTGACCCCTGACCCACCTCCCTAACTTATTCACTCACTTTAATAATTCAAACTTTACCTGATACTCACAGGCCGCGGAACAACTATACCCTTGTGTAGTCCAACATCTAAGCCATTATGACAGTAAATTATCGGATCATGAGCTGTCGTGTAGCAATTGTTAAGCAGCTATCTTCATATACGATGGGAATTACATACCTCCTCCTCTTTCGACTTATTCGCTCATGGTGTCACACTTTCATGGTGAGGTGACCGAAAGGATGAGCGATAGGAATATCTCGTGACACTGTATTTAACAGAATATACAATGTGTTGTCATTATCTTTTATTTCTGTACACGCCTGTGTGGGTGAATTTTTATTTATTTTTAAATAATCGCCCACCTCCCACCCAAGCACCCACCTAGCTCCCCATTAATGCTGGCTTATATAGGCCCGTTTCTAAAAAAATCACTTTTTTTCATATTTTCTTATAACTTTTTCATACTTTTTAACTATACAATTTTCAAAAATATCACTTTTCGAAAATCAACTTGACACAGAGGTTAAATTTAGCTTTCAATAAGTAAAATAAAATATTTAGAGGAGAAAGATAATATATATAAATGAAAAAGGAAAAGTTATAGCAGAAACATTACTCTAAAGGATGCATATATTATGAAATGAGGGTGTCTAAATACACTTTACATTAACCCTACTTATGAGTTGCCATGTTCCCTTTCACACATAAGGACTGAGGACATGTCAATGGCCAAAACTTCAGTCCTAACCTAAACTGTCTTTACAATTGTCATGTCTGCTTTTCAATTTTGGGCCCATAACTCCAGAAATTTGGATTGAGAGGAATTTTGAGACTCCAAAAGTACAATAATGTTATTATTAGAGCTATGGACGAATCTCCAAGGTCCTCCCCTCAATCTCATGATTCCAATCAATCCCCTAAATATAGAAAATAAGATTACATTGTGCTTGGCTTAACCAAAATTCTGATATCCATCAGCAAACTTACCACTGATTTTCCTTTCTCTATCACATTCACTAATGATCGCTTTTTTATACAAAATCAGGTCACAAGAAAGGTGGTGGCAACCGGGCAACGTGAAAATGGTCTCTATGTGCTCAAGCGCGACCATAACTCTTTACTTTCTGTACTTTCCCATAGTTGTCCTCGAGCTTCCTTTGATGTTTGGCATGCTCGCTTAGGTCATGTATCTCATTCTATTGTTTCTCTATTGAATAAAAATCGCCAATTATGTGTGACTTCCTTGCTCCCAAACCCCACTATTTGCTCTAGTTGTCAACTTGGGAAAAGTCATAGACTCCCATTCCAACTAAATGAAAAACAAGCTTCTAATATGTTGAATCTAATTCATTGTGATTTATGGGGTCCATCCCCTATTTCTTCTAATATGGGTTACAAATATTATGTAATTTTTGTTGATGATTATTCACGATTCACGTGGTTTTATCCTTTGAAATTAAAATCCGAATTCTATAGCATTTTTCTTCAATTTCAGAAATTTGTAGAAAATCAATCTTTCGCTAAAATCAAAGTTTTTCAAAGTGATGGAGGCATAGAATTTACAAATCACATTTTTTGAGATCACCTTTTCAAATTGTGGCATACGTCATCATATGTCTTGCCCTTAACACCGGCCCAAAACGATCGCGCCAAACGCAAACACCGTCATTTAACGGAATCTGGTCTTGCAATGCTTTTTCGCTCACATGTTCCTCTTAAATTTTGGGTTGATGCTTTTAGCACGACTGCTTTCATCATCAATCGGTTGGTGACACCTACTCTTAATGGCTTGTCTCCTTTTGAGATGCTGTATGGTAAGCCTCCCGTTTAGTCTAATTTTCACTCCTTTGGCTACCTTGTATTTTCGTTACGTGATTATGCATCTCACAAGTTAGCTCCTCATAGTCATCCTTGTGTTTTTCTTGGTTATAGTATGTCTCATAATGGCTATCGTTGTCTTGATTGCTCCATTAATCATGTTTTTATCTCCAGGCATGCAATTTTTGATGAACTCAATTATCCCTTTCAGGGAACTCGCTGTCCTATGTCCATGCCTAACTCTACCATTAGTGCATTTCTTGAGCCCATCACTATCCCAGAGGCCTCATCACCTACTCAACCCGATTACATACCACCTCCTTGTAATTCTTGTTCTACTGATGCATCTACTAGTCTTGTGCCTATATCTCTTTTGCAGGACGCAGGTGATGACCCTACTAGTCACATAGTGCAAAGTCCTTCTAATGACTCCGAGCTATTGCTCGCCAATCCAACTCCTGTTACTGAAGTATGCTCGAGCCAGCCTCCTCCACTTGGCACCCATCCAATGCAAACTCGTGCAAAATTCGGCATTTTCAAGCCTATCCACTGCTCTTATGTGTGCATGGTCCCTAACTCCAGCCTACTTGTATCTCTTCTCACCATGCACGAACCTAAAGGCTTCAAGTGCGCTGCTAAACATTCTAGATAGATTGCAGCCATGGATGAAGAAATTTAGGCCCTTCGCAAAAATCATATATGGGGCTTGGTACTTAAACCGCCCAACGCAAATGTTGTGGGCTCTAAATGGGTTTTCCGCATCAAATACCTTTCAGATGGCACTGTTGATCGTCTTAAGGCCCGCTTGGTTGCAAAGGGCTACACACAACAACCAGGTCTCGACTTCACTGAAATGTTTAGTCATGTTGTCAAAGCTTCCACTGTCTGAGTTGTTTTATCCTTGGCCATCTCTCATAATTGGCCTCTTTGGTAGCTTGATGTTAAAAATGCGTTTCTTAATGGGTTCGTACTGGAAGAAGTCTATATGGATCGGCCGCCTGGTTATGTTGACTCTAAACATCCCACATATGTTTACCACCTTCGTCAAGCTCTTTATGGTCTTAAACAAGCGCCAAGAGCTTGGTTTCATCGCTTCAACTCTTTTCTCTTGGCCGTTGGCTTCGTTTGCAGCCAAGCAGATTCCTCCTTATTTGTTTTGTCCAAGGGTGCTGACTTAATTTACCTATTGCTCTACGTTGATGACATTGTCGTAACTGGCAACAACTCGACACTCCTTGATGGCTTTATTCGTCGGCTAAATAGTGAATTTTCCACCAAAGATCTTAGTTCTCTGAATTACTTTCTGGGATTGGAAGCCCATCGCACATCTTCTGGTCTCTTCCTTAGCCAGGCCAAGTATGCTCATGATATCTTACATCGTGCTAAATTGGTTGACTCCAAACTGGTTTGTACTCCCATGGTGGTCGCTCAACGTCTTTCCACCACAGGCCCTAACTTTGATGATCCGCACCTCTATCAATCACTTGTGGGAGCTCTCCAATATCTCACCATCACTCGGCCGAACATCACTCATGCCGTTAGTACCGTCAGTCAGTTCATGCACAAGCCCTCTATCTCTCACTTTCTTGTAGTAAAACGGATACTATGATATATCAAGGGAACTCTTCGATTTGGTTTATCCTTCACCTTGTCTTCGTCTCAAGAACTCCTTGCTTATTCTAATGCCGATTGGGCGGGTTGGCTTGACACACATCGCTCGATTTCTGGTTATGCAATCTATTTTGGTGACAACCTAGTGTCCTGGAGCTCTAAGAAGCAGCCGACAGTTTCGCACTCCAGCTATGAATATGAATATAGGGCTTTAGCACTCACGGCCTCTGAGGTTAAATGGCTCCAGCATCTTCTTCGTGATCTTCGTGTCTCTCATTCGTCTCCTCCTGCAATACTTTGTGATAATCAAAGCTCAATCTTCCTTGCCGTTAATCCGGTCTCTTCCCGTTAATCCGGTCTCTCACAAATGCTCTAAGCACATTGATTTGGATTATCATTTTGTACGGGAACTAGTGGCCTCTGGCAACCTCAAGATAAAATATGTCCCCACTCAGTTACAACTTGCGAACATTTTCACCAAAAGTCTCGACAGACCTACCCTCCTCTTCCTACGCTCCAAGCTACACGTCCATGATTCTGATACGCTAGGCTTGCGGGGGGTATTACAGTTATGGACGGATCGCCAAGATCCTCCCCTCAATCTCATGATTCCAATCAATCCCCTAAATATAGAAAATAAGATTACATTGTATATGCTGCCTTGTACAGAAATATTCTTGCCTTATTTTCTAGTGTAAAATTCTTATATAATGAAACCATAGCCACTAGCAATACATGGTGGTTTATCAAATACTTCCAGTTATTCATCATTATTGTAGGGTTCAAAAAAAGTCTATCTAGATGCTTGGCATACCATTTTGTTTGGCGTGTGACATTGTCTTGTTACGTTATAAAGTCCAAACCAACAAAATTTTCAATCGGCAAAACTTAAAAAAAATAAAATAAATAAGTTTCAAAAAAAAATTAATAATAATAAATTCTAAAGCATTATTGATTTAGGATATTTAAGATTTTGAGATCTATGTTATTATTTGAAAACTTAAAAAAAAAAGGTATGAAATTCGTACAAATTTTTAAGGCATGCACTTTATTTATTTATTAGTCTAAATTAATTTAAATAATATTAAAAAAAATTATTATGCCTAGGCACGTAAACCATGATTAATAGATATCATCATAAGTAACAATGAAAAGAAAATTTAAAAAAGATCCTAATGCCAACTACGGCAGCAATTAGCCCTATTTGATTTAGTTGAAAATCTGGTTTTCAATAAATTTTAATAAAATGTGATGAAATGTCTGATTAGAAATTAACAAAAGTTGTGAATTTTATAAAATGTGTGATTCAAAACAAAGTGGGAAAAGCGAGTTTTAAAAATTTAGGGCTAAACAAGAGGTAAAATGCCACAGACTCGACGTACTCATCACCATATATATTTCCTTTGGCACAACTCTAAAATTCTTCTAAGAGGGTTATAAGCCCTATTAATAGTCTATCTATGTCTAAAACTTCACTTAAGAAGTACGAAAGATCATAGTCATCATTTGGTCTGTGCTATCCAACATCAACATCGCCTATATGATCTTTATTTACAGTGCATTAGCTTCTAAACATACTCCGTAGGTAAAAAATCCCATACTACAACATTTTCTTAAATATGACTCGTGTACAAACGCAGTATGACTAAGTTCTCGCTCCAACTTTGTACGTCACACAAATTTTTTACTGAATTGAATCACAAAACTTTAAACTTTCATGTTAACATTCCCCAACCTGGACATAATAACTACTCATAAGCATTCGTTGACGGAAATATGTAAACAAACCTACTGTGTGTACAGTGCCAGAACACACACATGGTGGGGTGGGTGGGGGTGTTTTTTGGCAATTTTTTATTCACGGTGGGTCTCACACATGAGAGTAATCTGGCCAAATTCTGTGGAAAAATTTATGCACAAATGGCTTAAGTGATATGTAAATTGGACGAACATCACAATAACTTCTCAAAAAATAAAAAATAAAAAAAATAAATAAATAAAGAAAAAAGGGACAAAACTGTGTTAAAATTAGGTATTAATTCCTAAACTAAAGTGTGACATTTAATAAACTTTACGGACTAATGGTGTTATTTACCTGTATTTTCCATGGAAAAGTCTATAATACCCCCGGATTCTCACCCACCTACCTCTCTCAAATGAGACCAAGATTTCTCGCAAATACTGCCATGGGAAAAATTCCAAAGAAGATTTGTTCACATGCAGGGAAAACAAATAATTTTCTGATCAGAAGAACAATAAACAAACAAAAGGTCTACAATAAGACAAGCAAATAACATTCTTATATATACACACATGAAGAAACAGTCACAGCCTATAACACCATGCTCTTAAAGCAAACTTAAAGTCAACTAGCTTTTTTGGCACTCAAGAGAAGAGATTCTACAGCTAGTGGTGTGATCAAGAAATCTCGTGCTCGCATCGTTGTCCCATTCCCAGCTCCAAAACGTCATAATATTAACGAAATCCTGACTAATGGATAGATGAATATGAATTTCAGCTAATCGGATGAAACGGATATTCTTTCCAATGCCTCAAAGACATGCCTCATTGTAGGTCTTCTTTCGGGACTGCTCTGCGTGCATGCCATTGCAATCTTTAGAACAGCGACCATTTCCTCTTCTTTCTCAGCATCCTGAGCCAAGTGTGGATCTAGCACATCGAAAAGTGGCTTCTTCTCTTCAATGCAGAGCTGCAGCCAATGAACGAGATCAATTTCCGAGTTCCTGACTTGAACTGTTGGTGATCTTCCAGTAATCATTTCCAGTAAGATCACTCCATACGAGTAGACGTCCCACTTTTGGGATGGCTTCACTGCTTTCATTACCTCCGGAGCTTGATAGTTGCATCCAAAAGCAGCAGCAGAGGCAACTGTCACTACTTCTGAAGGTGTACTGCTTTGTTGTCTGTGTTGTGGTTTGTCGGAGACCATACGACTGGATTGCAGGGTCGGGGATCCACCAGATATATTAGCGAGACGCCCAAGTCCAAAATCAGAGATTTTGGGCTCCATATCATGTCCAAGCAGTATATTAGAAGGCTTCAGATCTCCATGGACATACTTTTTGGGACTATACTCGTGCAGATAAACCAAGCCTTTTGCAACTCCTTTCATTATGTTCACTCGCATAGACCAAGAAAGTGGAGTAAAACACACCAATCCGGGATTTCCTGAGGACATTATTGCAAACAAAACAATCAAGTAAAATAAGACATAAGTAAACTAATATGCAACCAAATTGACTACATTAAACAAGTTTCCTAAGCTGTAAAACTCACCATGGATTGTAGTAGCGAGGTTCCCATTTGGTATGAAATCGTATATCAATAGTTTCTCGTCCACTGACCAATAATAGGCTTTAAGGGTCACAATATTGGGATGTCTCAGCTTGCCAATTGCTTCGACTTCTGTCTGGAATTCCTTAAACCTCTGTGAACCTCCTTCACCCAATCTTCTCACAGCCAAGGTAAGCCCATCCTCGAGGACAACTTTGTAAACAATTCCAATGCCACTTTTACCAAGCACGAAAGCCGACGCCTTGAGAAGTTCATCAAGATCAAAGGCCACCTTTGCATCCAGCGGCACTAGATCATACTATTCTACATTTTCTGATAAAGTCTCTGATTCATCTTTCCTAAAACATGAACATTCCTTCCTCCCCTTGCTTCCTTTCTGATCAAAACCATACCCGTTTCCATGTTTTCTCTTGCTATAAGAGCAAACTCTCGAGTAACAGTATGAGAAAAGTAAACCAGTAACGCAAATTCCAATCACGTCGCTCACAACAATGGCAATCACAGCAGCTTTACTCAGCCCTTGTTTGCCATTAACTTTTCCTACATTATCTCCACCTTGTGGAGGGTTATTACTAGGCAAGAAAGGAAATGAAGAAGGAGAACTAACCTCACTATCAGAAGAACAAAGATTTTTCAATGGTGGGCCACAGAGTCTCGGGTTTCCAATAAAGGCTGTTGGTCCTCGATTTACTAGAGCACCATTTTGCGGAATTGGACCACTTAATTTGTTAAAGGTCAGATCGATATAAACCTTCTCAGGAAGGTTACCAAGACTAGATGGAATTGAACCATTGAACATATTGTGAGATAAATCAACAGTTCCTTGTAAATTGGACAAATTTCCCAAGTCACTAAGAATGGAACTACCAAAATTATTGTAAGAAAGATCGAGCTTTTCCAACAAAACCAAGTTTTTCCCAAACCCATTAGGCAAAGAACCACTAAAATTATTTTGATTGAGATCAAGAGTCCTCAACCTTTTACACTGAATCAATGATGTTGGCAAAGACCCATTAAAGAAATTCTCAGATAAATCCAAATTTTGAAGGTAATTAAGGTTCCCAATCTCAAATGGAAGAGACCCAGAAAGAGAATTTCCATAAAGCACCAAACTTTGCATCCCAAGAGCCTTGAAAAGCCCAGTAGGCAAGGTTCCAAAAAACTTATTATTCCTTAAATTCACATGTCTAAGCTCAGAAAGAGATCCAAGAGAAGAAGTAAGAAACCCAGTGAGTTTCTTATTTGGAATGCTAAAAGAAATAACTCTTTGTTCTTTGCACGTAATGCCATTCCAAGAACAAGGGGTTTCATCAGTATAGTTCCAGTTATTTAGTGACCCTTCAGGGTCTTCTTTGATTGATTGCTTGAATGCTAAAAGGGCAAAACCTTCATCATTCAAAGAACTCACAAGAACATTACTACAATTACATAGGATTAAAATGAGCAAATAAGCAAATTCTAACATTTCCAAGAAAACTACAATACCCAGGAACTAACCGTTGGAATTATTGCAAGAAAAAGAACAAGATGAGTTCTTTATACCTCTTAACTTTGCACCAGAAGCCCAAGTGGATGCAAAGAAAGCTTAGAGATGGAATGGTGCTTCAGAGACTGGGAGAGTGTGAATGCTTTGACAATATGGCCTGAGCGATAGAGGAGGAGAAGAGGTGGGTTTGGGAAAAGCATAGTTATTTTCAGCACAGCAAAAAGAGGACCTCGGGAGAATATACTAGTTTTCTACCAATCACAGACAGAGGGAATAAAAACGAAAAAGAAGCTTGTAAGTTGTTACCATAGTGAAAAATACTGTACTTTATGTTAAAAATGCACGATCGATCCTTAATATATTGTTCAAATAGTAAATAGATCTCTAATCTCCAAAAATGAACAAGTTTTTCCTAACTTTAAATTATAGTCGTATAATCAATTTCCATCAACCAAAGCTATCCAAATTTTGCTTAAATAAACACATTGTTATAGCATGTCTAACTTTTTGAAGCTATGTCTTAGTTTCTAACTTGAACTGATGTCTAGTAA